TTCCTTTTAAGTCTCAACTAAAATTTCACCTTCTACAGGAAGCCTTCTTCAACTCCTTTTAATTCCAGTGCTTTTCTTTTGTTAATTATTTCCTATTTATCCTGTATATTGCCTGCTTTGTGTGTGTGTATGTGTGTGTATTTTTTTTGGCATGTTTTCACCCCTATTAGATTATAAGCTCCTTGAGGACAGGCATAATCTTTTACCTCTTTTTGTATCCCCAGTGCTTAGCACAGTGGCATAGGTGCTTAATAATTGTTTATTGATTGATTGATTGATGATCCATTTATCCTTCTAACTCTTTGTGTAACTTTTAGACTCCTTGCCTTTATTAACCAAAAAAATAAGAAAACATGTTCAGCATGGTAGCTCAGCTTAGTTTTAGCTACCCTGACAATTAGGATAACTAAGGTTCAATTCCTTTCTCTGATGCATGCTAACTTTGTTACCCCTTGGAAAATTATTAATCCCTCAGTGCCCCAGACAACTCTCTTACACTATAAATTTCAGAAAGTTTCCAGTCTGAACCATTGAAGTAAATTTTCTTACTAAAAATAAGCCTGACAGACCCAAACAAAAGAAAAAAAAAGTTTTAATGTGAATGATATTTTTAAGTTTTGTGTAATCCCTAAATCAACTCCTGTCTTTAATGGCCTTGCCTAAGCCAGGGACAAATATAGTTCTTGTACTGATTTCCATGTTGCATGAATCAGCCATGACAGCTTGTTCCAAGTTTCATTTGGCTTGTACCTCAGTTCTACTCTAGAGATTTGATAACTGGCTAGTGGAATCTTAATAGGGAGATGGAGAACTCAAAGATGGGTAATCTTGTTTCAGTTTCTTCCAGGGTACTACGGTGTACTGGCAAGTCTACAATATTTGCACCCAAGGAAATTAGAAAATGAAATTAAAATCATTTAGGTCAGACCATGGTTACTATTTAACATACTGGAATCATGAAGTGCAATTTAGAAGCTAGGAGACATCAGTCAGAAACCTGTCTTCAGATGGACTGACTGAGTGGGACCTCTTATGCTCTCTATGAAATTTTTTGTCTCATCAACAGATCTCAGATTCTTGTTCCTTGTAACATTCCTCCCTTTCTTAGCCAAACTCCTTGAATAATTTACATTCTTTAACTCTCTTTCCTCTTTTCACTCTTCTAAAGTTTTTACAATCTGCCTCTATCACTCAACTGAAGTATTTATCTCCAAAGTCTTTATTTCCAAGTCTAATGGCATTATTCTAAGTCCTCATCATTCTTGGCTCTCTGGAGTATTTGACACTGTAGCCACCTTCTCCTCCTGGACACTGTCTAGTCTTTGGGTTTTCATGACATTGCTTTTTCCTAGTTCTCCTCTTCTCTCTCTCTGACTGCTCCTTTTTTCTTTGCTGGAAGCATAGGATTGCTCTGTATCATTCTTACTAATTGTAATTTTACCTAACAGCTTTCTTCTTTCTTCCCTTTATAATTCAGCCCTAGTCTACTTGCTGAGCTCCAGTCTCACATTGCCAACTGTTCATTGGACAATTCAAACTGGATGTCCCATGCATTTTGCAAACTTAGTATGATTAAAGCAGAACTCATCCATTTTTTTTTTTTGAGCTTTGCTGTTACTATAAAGAGCACCACCATATTTCTGGTCATTCAGGTTCACAACTTTAACATCATCTTCAAGTCTTCACTCTTAATAAGTCCCATAAACCCCATCAGTTTCAAAATCTTGTAGTCCCCTCTATAACACCTCTTGACTACACCCCTTTCTCTTTATTTTAACAGCTAACACCTTAGTTTAGGCCCTCATCACTCCTCACTAGGACTATTTCCTCACTAGAAAACTAACTAGTTTCCCTGCCTCTAGTCTCTCCCCATTATAATAAATCCTCAACATGACCATCAAAGTGATTTTCCCACAGCATAAGTCTGACTTCCTACTCAGTATACTCTAGTGGTTCCCTACCATTTTTAGAATTAGCTATGAGTTGCTCTGTCATTTAAAGTTCTTTAGAACCTAGCTTCATCCTACCTTTACACATTCTTACACATTATTCTTACACATTACATGGCTCTGTATACTCTACAGTCTAGCCATACTGTCCCTCCTTGCACACTTCATTTCCCCTCTCCATGCTTTTTATACAATCTGTTTCTCATTAATGATATGCTTTCCTTCCTCACCTCTGAATCTTGAAATCTCTTTTTTCCTTTAAGATGTAACTCCAGTACCACCTTCTGCTTGAAGCCTTTCCTGGTCCCCCTTAGCTACAAATGTCTTTTGCTCCAAGGTAATTTTACGTAGTTTGTATGTGTTTTGCATATACCAATATGTGTATTTTGTCTGCCTAATTAGAATGTATTCTCTTTAAGGGCAAGGACTTTTACTTTTGTTATTTCCTCACTTAGGACAGTGCTTAGGACAGTGGCTGGCACATAGTAGACTTGGTAATTATCCCATAGATTTAATTACCATCTCTATGCTGATGATTCTCAAAGCTGCCTATTCTGTCCCATACTTTCTGCTGATGTCCGATCTTGCATCTCCAGTGACCTTTCAGACATTTTGAACTGGATGAACATAAACTTCTTAACCTTAATATATCTAAAATGGAACTCATCTTTTCTCCTAAACCCTACTCAATTTCTGCCTTCTTAATTACCACAGAGGCCAACACCATCTTCCCAGTCCCTCAGGCTTGCAACCTGGGAGTCATCCTGGACTCCTCACTATCTCTAAATCCCCCATATCCAATCTGATGCTAAGACCTATCAATTTCACCTTTGTGACATCTTTCCAATATGCCCCCTTCTCTTGTGAGGATGAGAACAGTATCAAGGTCAATTACTGCACTGATGGTAAATTATTTAACTTGAAAAGGCTACAAGCCAAGACTAACGTTGAGGGAGAGTTGGTGCTCAGTACAGCCTCGGAGGCTGAGATGTGACAAAGCATGGATCAGGTCTGTGCTGCTTATGCTAATTTTGGCCTAACAATTAACACCAACCAAAAATATACGTTCTCCACCAGCCAGCACCACACCATCCATACGTGGAACCTTTGATTACAACAAATGGAGACATTTTGAATGCTGTGGATTAAGTTCACTTACCTTACTTTTCAGGGATGTACACATAGATGCTGAGGTTGATGCACATATTGCCAGAGCAAGCTCAGTGTTTGGAAGGTTCCAAAGGAAAAGTATGGGAGAGAAGAGGTATTAAGACTGACTACCAAACTGAAGGTCTACAGACCTATTGTGCTGACCTCTTTGTTCTATGCCTGTGAAACCTAGACAGCCTACTAACACCATGCCAGGAAACTGAATTGCTTCAATTTGAATTTTCTTAGAAAGATTCTAAAGATCACCTGCCAAGTTAAGGTACCAGATACTGAGGTACTTTCTCAAGCTAAACTGCCAAGCATTCAAACTCTATTGCAGAGAGTACAACTCCAATGGGCTGGCCACATTGTTGAAATGCTAAACGTATATTTGTCTAAAATATTATTTTATGGAGAATTCACAAAAGGCAGGCATTCCCATGGAGGTTAGAAGAAGCTATACAAGGACACTCTTTAAAGGTCTCTTTGAAGAACTTTGGAATCAATTGCATGACATGGGAGACACTGCCACTGGACCGCCCAGCATGGTGTGCCCACATCAAAGAAGGTGCTGTACTCTTTGAACAAAGCAGAATTGCAGTAGCTCAAAAGAAATGTGAGATGCACGAATTTAGACATCTCCACTCCAAACGTTCATTTAGACTATTTGTGCCCAACCTGTGGTAGAGCCTTCCAAGCTCGTATTGATATGATTAACCACAGATACATTGTACCTTGAATCTAACATAGTGATGTCATTTTGGTCCTCTTCAAGAACAAAGGGCAACAACCAAACCACTGTCACTCCTACACTGTAATACAGGCCCTCATCACCTCTTGCCTTGATTACTGCAATAACCTGCAGTAATCAAGGTCGTCTTTTCTCCGGTCTCTCCCCACTCCAGTCCATCTTCCATTCAGTCACTGAAGAGATTTTCCTAAAATGCAGATCTGATGATTTCACACACACATAAACACACACACACCCGTCAGTGAACTCCAGTGGCTTCCAGCAAATACAAATGTTCTTTTTTGGCATTCTAAGACCTTCCTAATCTAGCCTTCCTGCCTTTTCAGTCTTCCAACTCTTAATTCCCTGATACTTTGCTCTAGTGACACCAGCCTCCTGGATGTTCTACTAACCAGATGCCCCATCTCTCAATTCTGGGCATTTTCTCTGGCAATCTCCCATCCCTAGGATGCTCTCCCTTCCCAACTTCAACAACAAAAAAGGATTTTACTATGCAAGTAGATAATCCTAGAACCCCACAAAAAGTTTATTAGGTCTATTATAGTGGAAAAGGGGAAAGAAGTTTGTGGGAATACATGAACAAAAAATGGAATAACATGGAGGAACCAGAACAGGATGCATTTTACAGTATAAAAGAAGTGAGGTTGATCTTGACTAAATTACTTCTGTGACTGTAAACAAGAAAAGGTTGTTTAAATAGAGTGAGACAGAAGAAGAGATGGAAATATGGGAAGTTATGATAGAGGCAAATTTTATGCTTCTTATCTGAATTAGTAGAACCAAATAAGAAAAATGAAATATTATGAAATTGGAATTGACTGATATGACAGCAGTAGAATATTCTATAATACTGTAGAATGGGGGTGGATCTGCAAAGTGTTATTTCCACTGTATGTGAGGAGTTGTAAATTGGTGGGCTGTCTACGGATTGTCACAAGGAATCAAGGATGCAAAAAGAGTATATATCCATTTTTCTCTACAAATAAGTATGTTTATATCATATACCATGTTCTGTTTCTAGCAGTGTAACATCCTTACTTGATGCAGATGAAAATGTTCTGACCATTTTCTCTTGAGAGTAAAACATAAAATATTGTGGAGTTAAAGTGATTCAGAATATAATTATTGAAGGTGAACTTTTTTCCTTTCAGATTTTGACAGTGAAAGTAGAAGGCTTAGCTAAATATCCTAAGGGTATTATTCAGCGTTCAGATGTGGAAAAGTTCCTTTCAAAGAAGAGCAGATTTCCCAAGAACTACATGTCTCAGTACTTTAAACTCCTGGAAAAATTCCAGATTGCTTTACCAATAGGAGAAGAACATTTGCTAGTTCCAAGCAGGTAAACTCTAAATATAAATGCAACATAGAATATTATACATTTTAATTTAATTTTTTAAATTATGGAAGTTGGATTATCTGATGCACGTATTAAGCAACTACTTTTTTTTCCCACAATATTATTTTTCCCTTAGAGAATTAGAGAAGATTCTCAAGATTGCCTCTTGAGGCAATGAAAAGCAGAAAATGCTAGATGATCATCATACACACATTGGAACGAAATGCTCAGATAAATCTGTGATTTCACTAGTATGGGTACTCTCTCTACCAGTGCAGTGTCCAAGCCTTACATTCTCTGCTATTCTTGTCAATGTCTTTCTTTAAATTATTCATAAGAATATAAGCCCATTATGCTGGAGATTTGTTTAGGTCTATCTTAAGGGTGCCAGTATAACACTTGTGCTGACTATCCATTCTTTCTCTTTACATGAAATCTTCAACAGATAGGTTTCATGAAGCCCATTTTCTTTTCCAGCCATACTTCTCCTTGTTGTTGTCTTCTGTAAGGTAGAAAGTAGAAAAGTAATGAGGTAATATAGAATGTTGGAATGATTATAATTATGTTTTATTTGGGAAGGCTTCTTAAAGGAAGTCACGAACGTGAGTTGCCCAAGTGAAGTAAAACAAAATCTCATTGAGAAAAACTCATAGGATTTTAGAAAAAGGGAGAGACCTTAGAGATGATTTACTGTAGTTTAACCCCATAATTTTTATAGATGAGGAAACTGAGTGTGAGAGATTAATTGACTTCACCAAAGTTATACATCAAGTTAATAACTGTACTTCTGTTTTATAACAATGATTATGTAGAAATTTGAGTTCTAATTCAGATTATGTCACTAATAGGCAGTGGATCTGACTAGATTTTCTTGAGCCTCAGTTCTTCCTCTGTAAAATAGAAGTTGGATTAGATGTCTATTATAATTTTCTATTTCTGTTTCTATAATCTTTCTCTTTTAAGTCCTATGACATTGCTAACCATTATCTAACAGTAAAGAAGTAGAACCAGTTCCGTATGAAGCTTGTAGAAATCAGTTATATTGCTTTATGATAAATTCAGAGTACATAAGACTTTTTAAAGAAAGCAGGTAACTGTGAGGACAAGGGTAAAGGAGGTAAGAGTGTGGTCAGTAAGTACGACTTTGAAGACTACCTTCTTATTGTTCCATATTAAACATCATTCTCTTCTTTGTAATGTTAACATTTTACACTTCTTTAATTCTTAAATGAAATTTTAGTTGATTGTTCTGTTGTCTCAGTGTCTCCTAAGTGTATCTCAGTAAATTTTTCACGCAAGAACTAAGTCTTTACCTTGCTCTATATTTCACATAATACAGCTTTACAGGCTTTCAGGCTGGCCAAATACAGGTTCTTGGACTTCACAGGCACTCCAGAATGTTGAGGGGAGTTACATAGGGTCAGATTGTCAATAGCATCTGATCTTCCTCAAGAAACTGTAATTGGAGTGGAAATTTTTGAGAAAATAACAAGATTAGATAATTCTGTATGTCAAAAGTAAATAATAGCATCATAGAGCTTTTAGTTTTTTTCTTTGTTTCCCTGTACACCACCAGAATGGCAAAGAGTAGACACATAGGTTGTAGTGTCTTGAATAAATTCACTTAGACCATCTCCGGTTAAATAATGGGCATTTATTGGGGTGACACACGCAGCTGACTTCTTTCCCCATGGGAGGCCTGAGTGTCCAGCAGGCCCTACTTCCCTTGGGAGAGAGCATCAGCAGGCCCTGCTCTCCTGGGAGACAGAACACCTAGCTAGGTTAGGTGTCTGGTCTGTATGTAGTTTGATAGAATAGAGGGAAAAGGGAGGAGGAGAGGGAAAAACAGGACTCTAGAATGTTAAGTAATCTGGAGTGTCTTTGTAAATGCATACAGATAAGCAGGGGGAATGAGAAAGGGGAAGAGGAAGAGCTGCCCTGGAATGTCAGATAGTTGAGGGGGTGCTTTATGACAGCACAGATAAGTCCATGGTGGGGAGCTTTTAATGCATAGTCTTCTTTTTATTTAATTTTTTTAATTCTTTTTTTATATTCATTTATTTTGATTTATCAATCATCACTTCCATTTTGAGTTTAAAATTTTTCTCCCCCTTCCTCCCCACCACCCTCCCCAAGATGGTGCACAATCTGATATAGGCTATACATTTACATTCATATTACATTCATATTTTTACATTAGTAATGTTGCAAGTAAAAATTAAAACCAATAGGAGGAACCATCAGAAAGAGGAAACAAAACTCAACAAAAGAGAAAAAAAAAATAGCAATTCAACTTCCATAGTTCTTTCTTTGGATGTGGACAACATTTTCCATCACAAGGCCTCTGGAGATGTCTTAGATCCTTGTATTGCTGGGAAGGGCTAAGTTTATCAATATTAGTCATCACACAATGTGGCTGTTATTGTGTACAACATTCTCTTGGTTCTGCTCACTTCACTCAGCATCAGACCATACAAGTCTTTCCAGGTTTTTCTGAAGTCAGCCTGTTCATCATTTCTTATAGCACAATAGTATTCCATCACATTCATATACCACAGCTTGCTCAGCTATTCCCCAATTGATGGGCATCTTCTCAATTTCCAACTCTGCCACCACAAAAAGAACTGCTATGAATATTTTTGTACATGTGGGTCCTTTTCCCATTTGTATGATCTCTTTGGGATACAGCCCCAGAAGTGCCATTGCAGGGTCATAGGATATGCACACTTCTGCAGCCCTTTGGGCATAGTTCCAAATTGCTCTCCAAAATGGTTGGATCATTTCACAACTCCACCAACAATGCATTAGTGTTCCAATTTTCCCACATCTTCTCCAACATTTGTCATTTTCCTGTTTTGTCATGTTGACCAATCTGATAGGTGTGATGTGGTACCCCAGAGTTGTTTTGATTTAATGCATAGTCTTCTTGAGCACTTTCTGGCTGGTCACATCCCGTATTTTATCTCATATCTCATATCCTGCATCCTGTTTGCTCCATCTGCCTCATCATACATGTGTACAAATAAATTTATGGGAATGGTGGGAAATACTCTTGATTTTTAAAAAACATGTATTTAATTTACTGGTTATCCTCAATAGGAATAAATTAGTGTGATTGAAGTTGTAATGAAAATGCAAAATGATGATTTTCTTTTTTCCATTTTAGTTTGTCTGATCAAAGACCTGTGATAGAACTTCCCCACTGTGAAAATTCTGAAGTTATTGTTAGGTTGTATGAAATGCCTTATTTTCCCATGGGATTTTGGTCCAGACTGATCAATCGATTACTTGAAATTTCTCCTTACATACTCTCAGGCAGAGGTACGTATTTAATGCCAGTAAATTGCTGATACTCTTTAGCTGGAGAAATAAAACCTCAAAGATTTTTAATATTTTGAGGTAAAATGTGCCAAGGCATATGAGTACTATCTATAATGATGAGTAAAATACCTCACTTATTCAGACTTCAAGTGCATGAACCTTAATAATTAGGTTTACTGCTGAAAACCATTAGTCTCTAAACAACCAAAACAAATATGTAGCCCAGGCATTGCACCAGCCCCGTAGATGAACAGAGTAGCCTGAAGGTGTAGATCTCGGACTCTCCCTCTCTGAATTGGCTTATTCACCTAACTTGTACTCACAGTAGATCTGGATTTCTTAAAAGGAGGCACGCCATGCTGCTACTACTCAGATTCTTTTATGAAAGCTCTAGTGGTAAGCCTGGTGTGAGAAGGAATACACTCCTGTTATTTATTACTGTTATTTATTACTCTTAAGGTCCCACCAGTGTGCTTCCGATTTACACAAAATTAGTTGCCACAACAGCATTTTCTTTTATACTAGCAGACAACAGCAAGAGTAAGACTAATAGAAGGCAAAGCAGGAATAATCAAAATATACCTAACCACCCATAAATCTTAAGTCACACTTTTCCATAAATGTACACAATGTCCTTGGAGAAAAGTGGGCGCACACTTAAAAGAAACCTAGAAGAACAATAAAGAGTAGGCGCCCACGTGCCCAGGGCAGCTCACTACTCTGAATGGTAGTCCTTGTGGTCCTTGTTCTCTGAAGAACAATCTCTATCATAAATCACTGGTGGGGGGGGAGGAACACATTTCTGCTATTTCCCTTCTGGTCCTCACAGCTCTCCTGCTGGGTGAAACTACTTCTCTGCTTCTCTTGGGCTGCCAATGCAGTAAGAGACTCTTTTAAAACTCTTTTGGCAGGAGTAAGAATAAGACTAATAGAAGGCAAAGCAGGAATAATCAAAATATACCTAACCACCCACAAATCTTAGTCACGCTTCTCCATAAATGTACACAATGTCCTTGGAGAAAAGTGGGCACACACTTAAAAGAAACCTAGAGAGCTGACAAGCTCCTCAAATCTGAAAATTTTTCCTTTTCGAAAACAAAAAGGTCTGTAGAGAGCAACCTGAGAGGTTTCTATTCTCTTAGGCTTTCGTTGGCTCTAGAGAGCAATAAATTCCTTCTTTTCTCCTATTCTAGTTTTCTTCTACTGTTGTTTTTTTAGGCAGCTAGTTGGCACAGTAGGTTGCATACTAGACCTGGAGCCAGGAAGACCTAAGTTCAAATTTGACCTCAGACACTAACAAGCTGTGTGACCCTAGAAAAGTCACTTAACTACTGTCTGCCTCAGGTTCCTTATCTGCAAAATGGGAATAATAATAGAAGTTATCTTCCAGGGTAAAATGAGATAAAATTTATAAAGCACTTTGCAAACTTTAAAGCACTATGTAAATGTTAGCTGCTACTACTACTACAATTATTATTATTATGATGCCTTAAATTGGTGCCTCCTTGTAAGCAGTGATGTGAAACTCAATTATGTCACCTTTTTGTCAGGTACTATTCTTTTAGTCTTTACGTAATTTTCCCATGTTCACCAAATAATTGTTCGGCTTATTGCATATATATAAGCCAAGGAATAATCATACCCAGCAGCTATCATTGCTCTTTGCTTTGACTTTATACAGGTCCTTTCAGTACATGTATCTGATGAACACTTCTCTATCTGGTTCTCAGAACAGTCTGTATCTCTTATTACCATGTTACTTATGTTTTAAGTTGATTTTTTAAAATAAATTTTCCCTAAATAGATGTTCATTTTGTTTCCTTTTATCAACCAAAATGTCCATAAGTGAAAGGGGCAGTATCTCACAGATATCATAAGATAAAGAGAATGGAATAATTGTTCCATGCACTGTGCTAAGCACTTTACAGATATTATCTCATTTAATCTTCACAACAACCATGTGCAGCAGGTGCCATTATTATCTCCATTTTACAGTTGAGGAAACTAAGACAAACAGAGGTTAAATGATTTAAGCAGGTTCACACAGCTATTAAGTGTCTGAGGCCTGATTTGAACTTAAGTCATTCAGACTATGGACCTAGCACTTTATTTACTGGGTCACCTAGCAGCTACTTGGCATAAAGTCCTTGTGCTAAACTAAAGTTCATGCATTTAACTCATAGGAATGCCTTCCTAGGTCTTCAAGCAGGGCCTAATCACTCTTCTCATAAACTTGGTCATCTAGTTTCCCAACCCATGGAAGAAGTAGCCCATTGAAAGGATAGGGGTAACTAGAGACAGACATTGTGACAGCAGTAAGAAATGATAGCTGACAGAAAGATAGTAAAGGAGTTAACAGGCACAAACATAGGAACCGAATAAAAAAAATACTGCAGTCTGAGTTTAATAATGTTACACAGCTAGCAGTATTCCCCTTGATGGCAACACTGTATTGTAATTATAGCATAGCATAGTAATTAATGTTCATAATAATCATGTCTCAGTTTCCTTATTACTGAATAATCCAAAAATTTAGCATTCACTAAGAAGCCATGAAAGCATACAATGTGTTTTAGAAAGACCTAATCATATACTGCTAAAGTAAACATAATTTTCTTTACTTCTTACATGGAAACTCAAACTTATGTGTGGCAGGATTCAGATAAATGAGCTGTTCCTATATTTTGAAATGTAATTCAACACGAAACTTTATATTTCTTTCTGGATGGATAATTAGAATTGCAAAAGAAAGGTTAACACATTAAGATTTCAGCACTATCTTTAATAGGAAAAACAACTGAACACCTTTCATTGACTCAGTTTCCTCCCAGGTTAATTGCACTAAAGCTATTGTTTCACAGGTAACACCATTTATTGGGCAGGAGAACACAGGAGAGGCTCCTAACACTAACAGGTGTTCTAGCACAGGTTCACTTTTGATCTGGTCAGACAGGAAGACAGCTTCGAAGGGGTTAAATAAGCTTACTTTATTCTAGTCTAGTCTTTTCAGAAGGATATTTGCTGATAATGGGAGTGCCAACTCCTACAGCATTCCCTAATCACATTTCTCACAAGAGTGGGCAAGAATGGGAGTACAACTCCTTCGAGATCCCCTAAGCCTTGATGGGGGCCAATCAAGGCAGGTACATGCATTCCTCTATACATTACCCAAATCCCAAAATGGGTTCCCCACTCATTGACCAATGACCACCTGCTTTATAGGGCAACAGACAAAGAAGGCATATTGCCAACAGTAAGCTCACAGGTTAACTTTAGCAATATCATCATGACACTAGGACAGTGCAGGTGTACATGATGTCATCCCTAAATCTCACCTTGCAAGTGTGGTGGAGATGTTTTCAACCATAATTCATGGGAAATATTATGTATTTTAGCCATGGATCCTGGGAAACTAAACTCTAAAAGGAATAACAAAATCCATCTTACTTGCAACTACACAACCACAACAATTTGTATAGTGGTATAAGGTTGTTGTTGTTTTTAATGGAAACTGATGTATTTCCAAGTTGGTCGATGCATATTTGAACTCAGTTCTGATTTTTAAAGGTGAAAGATTTAATGATAAATATAATTCTTAATTTTCCAAAGAGTATTTTTTGGAGTATCCTTTTGGAATTAATTGATATTTTTTAGTGGCCAGTGTTTTTCATTTCAAACAAAAACTATTCGAATTTTTGCTTTATGTCATTGTTTTGGGAATTTTGCATCAATTTTGGTGGAGTTTATTATTGAAGGTCATAAAATTTTTGCAATTTCCTTCAGAACGGGCCCTTCGCCCTAACAGAATGTATTGGAGACAAGGCATCTACCTGAATTGGTCTCCTGAAGCCTATTGTCTGGTAGAATCTTCAATTTTCGACAATAGCTCAGAGAGTTTCTTGAAAATTACAGCACCTTCATGCAGAAAAGGTAAATCAATTGATTCTAAATATTGTCTCATATTATTTGAGAAAGGTTCATATATTTGTTTTTCACTTTACAGTTAAAAGCTATTTGTTATATAGCTACATGTGAAATATCACAAATATTGTGTTGTACTATATTATATTAATTATATATAAAAGCTGTGTATAATTATAACTATATAGCATTTGAATATGATTTTAATGAACTATTTCTTCGATTGTATAGGCTGTATTATTTTGGGACAAGTTGTAGACCACATAGATTCTCTCATGGAAGAATGGTTTCCTGGTTTATTGGAAATAGATGTCTGTGGTGAAGGAGAAACATTGTTAAAGAAATGGGCTTTATATAGTTTTAATGATGGTGAAGCACAACAAAAAATATTACTTGATGATTTAATGAAGAAAACTGAAGAAGGTATGTGCTTTAATAATTTGCTAAGATGCAGCACTAATTGAGATAATACCCTTTAATGATGAGGTGGGTTCCTTTGAGAACTACATCATACTCTGTGTGTGTGTGTTTGTGTGTGTGTTGGATAGAGAGCTGGCATCAGAATCAGGAAGACCTAGGTTCCATTCCAGCTTCTAATTATGTGATCCTGGGCAAGTCAGAAACTCTCAGTGCTCTGGGCAATTTCTCTAAGACTAGAGGTTGGAGAGAATGTGCTAACTGATTTGCTAGAGGAAATTTCCTCATCTTGGGTTTCCCTCTACCAATGAAATTTCAGGTCCAGTTCTTATTCCTATTGCATTCATATGTATATTAAAAGAGTCTTTGAGATATATTTTATTCTAGTGTAGTAATAAATACAGGACAAAATAAAAGTAGATATTTTGTTGTCCATTATGACTTCAGTATTTAAATACTGAACAAATATAAGTACAAGATACAGATACACAATGAAAAACTTTTTGACGGAAAAGATATTGTAGAGCTGAGAACATTCTAAATTGTTGTCTTTCTTTAGGTGTCTTAGGAATAGTTAACAGTATGAGTTAACACAGCTAATCTGGGAAGTGGCAGAGAACATGAGGGCATGTACAACTTTAGAGAATTCCGCCTGAAGCTATTAAAACTAGTATACTTTAGCACTGAAGACAGTGGGAATATTCTTTAGCACACCCAATGTTTCTGAGCCAATTTATATGTGTTTTCTCTGGATTAAAGGGCCAATATGTATATGTATTTGTAAGCAAAGACTAGACAGCATGTACTCAGGCCTTTCTGTACATGTGTGTGCTATCCTGATTGCCCTCCTTGTAATGTCTGTGTCCTGAAGTTTCTATTGCTTATACTATGCATATCTGCATCTAAAAGGATGAATTGTGATGAAAATCATGTATAGAGCAAGCAAATCTTTTATCTCTGACAATACTTTCTCCAAACCACTTTGTCACTCTACAGGTATCCCAGTGGTCATAAGACTCTGCTTTTCAGGAGTCATTGATTTACAACAATAGATGTGAACATTTAAAAATTAGAGTTAATGGTCAGTCTGAAATTTTTCAAAACTTCCAAATGGAAAGAATATAGAAAATGATGAAAATAAAGGGCAGACTTTAATAGAATACATGGTTGGAAAAAAAGGAAAGAATTAGAGATGAAAAAAAGAAAAGAAACATTGTCATGGCAGAGCAAATAAATACAAATGTACATCCATTCATCTTCATCTACATATATCTACATCTATGTCTTATTTTATATTATTATCTGTCTTTAAATATGTGAACTATAACATTTGGACAAAATCAGATACATCAGTACAAAAATTTGATGGTGGGGTAAGCAGATCAAAGTGGGATTAATAAGTACCTAATCAGTCAAAAATAAATATTGAACATACTCACTTTTTAACTAAATGTCACACTTAACAATAATGTCATATTTCCTCTCTTCACAGGAGATCTCTTAATTAATCGAGATCAACCAAGGCTTACTATCCCAATAAGCCATATTGCTCCTGATTTAACTTTGGCTGATCTGCCTAGAAATATCACGTTGAATAAAGATGAGTTGGAATTTGAACAAGCACCAGAATTTCTTTTAGGTAAATATTTTATAGGTTAGTGGAGATACAGAGAAGTAGATGCCACATATACACACAAAAATTGAACATACTATAAGTGTTTATTTCTTTAGTTTTTTCCTCTGAATTTTAAAACCATTAACATTTCGTAATTCTTGTTGTAGATTTATCATCATTATGTACTTTCTGTTATTATAGTTATTATAGTTTGGCATTTTATATTTGATGATATATTTTTTTCATTAAAAAAATTTGGACTTGTGTAGATCAATAGATCTAGAGCTTGAATGGACCTAAGAGACCCTCTCATTTTACAGCTGAGGAAACTAAGGCCAAGGGGAATTAAAAACTGAGAGGTGAGATTTGAACTGGGTCCTCTGTTTAGAGCTAGTGCTTTTTGCTCTGTGCTTTGTTGCCTCCCAGTGATATTAGAGTTTCACTGATATGGAGGTAATGTGAGATTAGAAACACAAAACTACTTGAAGATAGTCCTTCTGAGGTCCTCTTTATTTCAGGATATGAAGAAGGTTTCAGGTTATCCTTGTGTGGTAGAGATTTTGCAACCTTAAAAGAAATTGTGCAAATAGAGGCTATGCCTTATGTGGAGTGGTCATCCACTTTAACAATCTTGAGTTTCCTGAAAGTGTTACACAATAAATTCATATACTTAAAAAAACCTTTCAGATTTAGAATATCAAATATGTTAAATCAGTTGCACAAAACAGCAAGTTCAGAAAATCTCAGGTATTCACAGAGTCATCTGAAAGATGTGATGTGAAGATTTGAATTAACAGTAATGTATAGTGCATGAAAACTTGTTGCTTTTTTAGAACTGTACTTTTAAAAAACTGTTGACAAGTTGAATCTTAGTTAATATCCAGAATAAGCATGCCTGAGGATGTTGCAATTGTTTATCCAAGCCTCAGTATTTAATTCAGTTAATGAAATAACCAAGACAGTACAGAGCTATGCATCTGCAGCTAGGTTTTGGGTGTAATACAAATAAGTAAATTGTACAATTTGGCATCTTTAATTTTCATAGTATAACACTGCTTCATTTTTTGAGAGTCCATAAATAAGTAGTCTAGGTTACACAATTTCTTTCATACTTCTCTCTACCCATCCCCCCACCCCCTTGTATATATGCACACAGTGTCTCTACTTCCTGTTTCTGTTTTCTGTTCCATCATTTTTAGGATCTCACTGTTTCCATTCTTCTCATTCAGTTTAATGGTAAGCTTGGAACCTGTCTTGCAGAAAAGAAGTAGAAGCAATGAATGTAGACAGTTTTCTTCCCTAAAAGTTTAGCTGAGAAAGAAAGGAGAGATATAGAACAATAGTTTGAGGAGATGGTAAGGACTGGAGAGGATTTTCTTTTTAAGATGAATGAGGGGAAGCTAGGTGGTGCAGTGGATAGAGCACTGGCCCTAAAGTCAACAGGACCTGAGTTCAAATCCAGCCTCAGACCAAACACATGGCACTTACTAGTTGGGTGACCCTGGGCAAATCACTTAACCCCATTTGCCTTAAAAAAAAAAAGATGAATGAGATTTATGCATGGTTTTAGGCAATAGGGAAGGAATCAGTAGATAGAGGTTGAGGATTAGTATGAGAGAGGGGATAATTGTTGGGGAAATATTTTGGAGAAAACCGGAAGGGATGGCATCAGGGGCTCATGTAGAAGGGTTGGTTTTGGTGAGCCAGGTCACCATCCCAATGGCTTCCTTGCCTATAGCTTCTGGAACACCTATACCAGGCATCATGCCCTGGAAAAACTTCTTCCCTAGGGCCCCACTCTGCTGATGGGTGATTGTCTCTCTAAAAACAGTATTTTTAGAAAGTCTCGGTCATATTTCATTTCATTCTCTCTTTTTTAGCTATCTCCTCACCAGCTATCTTGGTGGTATAGTTGATAATGTTAGATCTGAAGTCAGGCAGACCTAGTTCAGATACTTAATAGTTGTGTGACCCTGAGCAAATCACTTAACCTTTGTCTTCCCCAGCTTCCTCATTTGTAAAATGGGAATATAATAGCACCTACCTCTGAGGTAGAGTATGAAGATAAAATGCAGTCATACTTGTAAAGCACTTTGTAAACCTTAAAGTGTAATATAAATGCTGCCATCATCATCATCATCATTATGTGTACCTGCTCCTTCTTTTTTGTTCTCACACTACCTTTCCAGTTCTGGAACCATGAACCATTATCACTCACCTTTGTTCTTGGATGGGGTTTTATCAGTCTACTTCTCTTTTATCTCTCTTACCATCCTTATAACTTTCTGTACCAAACTACCCCTCTCTGTTTCTCTAACCACCACTCCACTTGTTTTTCTACCTTTAGAACAGGCCTGTACAACTTGTGATCTGTGGGCTGCATATGGCCCTTGGCCACTTGCAGCAGGCCAAAAGATTTCCGGCAGCCTGCGAAAAATACAGAGCAAAACAGCCTGTGAATGTAGAGGAAATCCTTTGGCCTGCTGTAAGCAGCCCACTGGCCATAGGTTGTGCAGGCCTGCTGTAGAATCTGAGTGTTTTGAGGTCAGTGACTCTTTGTTTTGTATCCTCAACTCTTAATGCTTAACAAATGCTTTAACATTGATTCATTTAGGAGAACCTGGAGTTAAAGAGGAGAGAATGGGAGATTCAAGAAGTTATTAGGTATAGTGAAGGGAAGAAGTGACAACTCATAGCAGATAGCCTGTTTTCTTAGTAAATTTTCAGGGAGTAGGGCATGTTGCAAAAGGGCATGATGTGGGAAACTTGAGAAGAAAAAGTTTGAACAATCACTTGGAGAATCAACTTAGGAAAGGGCAAAAGAATTGCTTGCCTAAATATGAGCCCAGTTGAAAATGGATAACAAATTCATAGTAGACTATGTAGATGTATTATTTCTTTTAGTTCCATTCAGCAGCACATAGAAGTGGATGGTGAAATTAATCTAAGTCAGTGGATCAGTAGAACAGAGAGAAGTTGGAGTAGTTAACTATGGAGCATAGTTTGGGAAGGGAACAAAATTAAGCCAGATTTGGGTAGATGGCCAGGAAAATATTGAATGAATAGAGATCACACCAAGAACAAAGAATACGTGTAGGGAGGAGTGAGGCATAAGGAGAAATAAAATCAGGAGCTTATGGTCAGTTAAAGAAAATTCAAAGTTTGTTTTCATAGGAGTGGAACAGATGGTGAGATGGTGAGATCAAGGCTGTAACCATCCCTGTGTGTAGCTGAGAAGGAGTGAAGTTGTAGGTCATGGGAACAGAATAGATTTTGGAACTGAGAGGTTAGAATAAATGATTATTACCATTTATAGTATTAAGGCTGAAGAGGAGACAAGACTGTAAGCCAAGTACTAAATTCCTAGAGAAGGAGGGGAGGGAATGACCTGGGACTAGCAAATAATAGCCTCCAGGATCTGGATTGCAGAATAAATAAACATAGAAAGAACCGCAAAGAAGGAGAATTTTTTTGAGTAATGGTGGCAGGGGAGAGTCTGGAAATGGAAATGAGGAGTAAGGATAGTAAACATTCTGATTTCCCTTCCAAAAGCAGAGTATTTAGGAAAGTATCAGAATGAGAATGGCTCCATGTCGGGCCTGCAAGAATGAGAACAGCATATCTCTATCCATTATAATAATCTAGCCAAGAAGTGACGAGGGCCTGAAATAGAGTGGTTGTATGACTATAGAGAAGGAAATGGATAAAAGATATGTTATGAAGGTAAAATTTAGTAGGCTTGGTAACTAATTGTATATGGGAAATTGGTGAGAATGAAAAGTCAGAATGATTCCTAAGTGGCAAACTGAATGACCAGGAAAATAGTGCTACCCTCAACAGAAAGAAGAGAAAGGGCTATCCTTTTTTCCTTTTTCTTTCATGTATCTTTAATCCCTTCTCCACTGGTTCCTTCCCTTATACCTACAAACATTTTTAGTTGTCATCAATCCAACCAAAAAAAAAAAGACTTCCCTGAATCTACTAGATGGCTAGGTGGTGCAGTGGATAGGGTCCTAGGCTTGGAGTCAGGAAGATCTGAATTCAGTTGTAACTTCAGACATTTACTAGCTGTGTGACCCTGGACAGGTCACTTCACCTTTGTTCAAGAACCTGTCTCTCAGGATTATTATGAGGATCAAATGAGATGATATTTGTAAAGTACCTTGCAAATAGTGCCTGACAAATGCCTTTCCTTCTTTCCTGCTATCCCTTTTTCCTTCTTATTCCATGCTTCTACTTCACTGGCTTCTGCCATATCCTTACAGATATGTTCAAAAGTCCCCAAAAAACACACTTTTCCTCTTGATATTTGTTATCTTCTCTTTTTCACTGAAAAAGGGTCATCTGCATCTCATGGCTACATATTCCTCACTACTTAGTCTCTTCTCACCCCATACTGAGCTAGCTTCTATTCTACTCCCACCACCCCCATTCTATTTATTTTACTTAAACTGCTCTCAGAGTTTATCACTAGCCTACTAATCAACAAATCCAAATGCTTTTTTTAGTCCGAATCCTCATTTACTATAACTTTTGATCCTTTGTCTTACAAAATGCTCCATCTCTGTCTTCTTCCTTCGTTCTTTGTTCTTATTGATCCCTTAATGTAGGTATGTTTTACAAGGTTATTTTGGCTCACTTTTCTTTATCTTTGCAACTCTGTACTCTTATCTGGCAATCTCATTCAGTCTCATGTTTTTAGCAATGACATCCATGCAAATTATTCCCAAATTTATATTTCTCTTCCTGTTTTCCTTTTGGACCTCCAGACTATGTAAGATATTTCCATTTTAATGTCCTATATTCAAACTTAACATACATGAAATTGTTTATATTTCCCCCAAAATTTACTCTCTTCCCGTCCCATCCCATTATCCAGCCTTTCATGTTCAAAATATTGTTGCTATCTTTGATGCTTACTTTGCTGTCATCTATATTTAGTTACTAAATCTTGATGCCACCTCAGAGACCTCTTCTATTTTCTCTTCCACAACCCCAGTATACGCCTTTGTTACTACTCCATAGCAACGTGAACTGGAGCATGCCTCTTGATAGGTTTTCCTACATTCTCTTTCCTCTTCCTCTTTCAAGCTATCCTTCATAGAACTGCCAGAATAATCGTTCTTGTGCACAGATCTAGTCGTATCACTCCTGTACTCAAAAATCTTCATTTGCCTCCTATTGGAAGTCTTCTATGATCTGGATCAACCCTAATTTTTTAACCTTATTTCATTGCTTCACTCCATGCAATTTATACTCCATCTAAACTAAATCCTTTTCTCTCTTCCTTCTCCTCTCAGCACCGAATGTCTTTTTAAAAAAATCTCTATGTTTTTAAATCATATTGTTCCCGTCCTTGAATATTCTTGTCCCCTTCTTTATTTTTGCCTGTTAAATTACCTGTCTATCCTTTAGAGTCCAACACAAGTGCCATCTTCTTAGTGAAATATTCCCTGATAACTTATGTTAGTGGTGATCTTTCTCCTTAAATTTCACATAACATTTTGCATTGCACCTCTTTAATATGCTTATAGACTATTGTACATTATAGCTGTCTTTTTGTCTTATCTCAGTGCTAAATAAACTCTTATATGCTATAGGTATTTAATAAATGTTTACTAAATGTTGAATTTGAGATGTTAGCTGAAAATTGAAATGTTTGTTGAATGTCAAATCTGAAATGTTAGCTGAAATCATAGAAGTAGATGAGGAAGAGCATAGAAGAAACATAAATGGACTGAAGACATAAAAAATCTTGAGAAATGCCAAATTTCCCAGAAGTCAACTAAAGAGATATCATAGAATAATAAACAGCATTCACTAGAAATAAGATTGATTGTACTGTATTTTATTATGATGCTGAAAGTATTTTACATTTTCATAAAAGGTGATGGTGGTTTTGGATCTGTTTATCGAGCATCCTATAAAGGAGAAGAAGTGGCTGTGAAGATTTTTAATAAACATACATCACTTCGGCTATTAAGACAAGTACGAAATACTGTCTTTCTTGATCTTTCATTTAAAGATTGATGCCATTTTACCACTTAGAAAATAATCCTATTCTTATTTAAATTAAGAAAGGGTAACAATTGATATTAATGGCATGATACTAAAATTCCATAAAACAGAAACAATCACCAAAAAAGAGTATACATTTCAAAATGAAAATCTACATTTCTTCTTATTTACAGAGTAAGAGTTTAGGGTTTCTTCCCCACAGGAAAATGAAAAAAAAAAAAAAACAGGCCCTTGTGGAGGGCCAGGGTGAATGCCTATTCAAAGCAGGATATCAAGTTTTACTAAGGTTTATCTCATTTTTTTAGAGCATAGTATTTCTCCCCTTAAACAGAGGAGTTATTATGCTGCTATTTTACTTTTGAATATGCCTTTCACAGGTGTCATAGTCTTAATAAGATGACTTAAATAAGAACTGGCTCATTTTAAACTATATTACCTATTGATAATTTCTGTTTTAAATTCCATAATCATATACAGCCATTCAGATACATGAGCAGGAGCCAAAAGAAGGCAAGTAAAATTATAAGCAATAATAATAATAATAATAAAAAACCCCACAAAACATTAACAAAAAAGCTAAAAAAATTAAGCAAATAAATGTTTAAGAAGTAATTATACAATCATGTTCTCGTATTATTTGCAGTATGATGAAAGAAGCAATGATCATGTGAATAAACTTTAACAAGATTGCATATTATACATTGTATAATCATGAGTTTTGTTGTTGTTTGATGTTAACCAGCTTTCCAAAATTAGACACTGTGATTTTTTTTCCCTTTAACTTTTTCTATATGAGAAAAAAATTCAATTCAAGTTATGTTTTCTAATTTTTTCTATATTTATCATTCTGTATAGAACAATAACAGTACACTCAAGTCATATGCCACAATTGATTTAACTATTGGCACATAGTTTGTTTCTAAATATTTTTCTCCTTTAAGTAGTGGTTCTAGGAATAGGAATATTTGTTGTTTTTTCCTGTCAGCAATTTTTTTTAGGCTATCAACATAAAAATGGGATTGCTAAATTTAAGGTTATGACTTTTTCTAACTCTTTTTGTATGACTCCGTATTGCTATCTAAAATTTCAAACCAATTTATAGATATACTGGCAGTGAACTTACTTGCCCATTTCTTGTGTCTATGCCAACATTAGATCTTTTGCTGTCTTTGCTAGTTTACTATCTGTAGTTTCTCCGAATGGTTTTTGTGTGCATTTCTCTAATAATTATTTTTAATACTTTATTTACAAGTAGATGTTTATCAATTCTCTGTCAATTTGGGCTGAGGATCATACATAGAAATACAAGTGGTTATTGATAGTTTATTTTTCTTGTCTCAAGAACTTAAGTTTCTTATTTCTGTAAAATCTTAACTAATTAACCAGCATATGAAAGTAACATTGAATGGAAAATGAAGACCCCTGAGATCTAACTATATTTTTATTTCTGATTCCTGAGCCATCATCTATCTTTTCTGTGTATATTAAGAAAGAATTTGCTACCTCCTTTTACTGAGCAATTTTTAACTTAAGTAGAATAATGTGTTTGTAAGTATCTTGAGCTTCTAATCTTTATAGAAAGTTTCAACTCATCTCAAACTTACTTTATACTTAATCATTTAAATTATAGAATGCTGAACATTCTGTATTAAATCCAGAAGTAAAGAAAAGTAATTTTGATAAATATTTATGTGCATCTGATTTACTCCCATTAATTCTAATTATTGTTTTTAACATTTATAGGAGCTCGTAGTGCTTTGCCATCTCCACCATCCTAGTCTGATATCTTTGCTTGCTGCTGGTATTCGTCCCCGAATGTTGGTAATGGAATTAGCCTCAAAGGGTTCCCTAGATCAGTTGCTTCAACAAGACAAAGCTAGCTTAACCAGAACGCTCCAGCACAGGATAGCGCTACATGTTGCTGATGGCTTAAGGTAATTACTTTTACTGACTGTGAAATTACTTTTACTGGGAAAGATCTTGAAAATTTTGCTCAAATTTCAGTGTTAGGTTTATATAGGAGGAGACTTTAATCAAGGATATTTTCTGAATTCTTGAATATTCAATAAAGCAAAAGAAATAAGAAAGAAAATTTTAATTTTATGTGTCTGTATGGAGTACATGTATATTCAGAATATATTCATTATATTACATATATATACGTGCACACACACACAAATAAATATAGCAGTGGAACAATGGATAGAGCTCTGGATTTCAGTAAGAAAGATTTCAAAACCAGCCTAAAATGCTTACAATCTGTGTGACTGGACAAGTCGCTTAACTTCTGTCTGCCTCAGTTTCTTCATCTGAAAAATGGGAATAATAATAACTACCTCCAAGATAGTTGGAAAGCTTAGAGTGAGTGATACGTAAATGCTCTAATATATTTTACAAAACAGATTAGAACTCCTGTCTGAGTGTCAACAGATTAGAGTTCTTCTAATTAGCAGTTTGTTGCTAATTTGGAGGGAAAGTTGATCCAACACACAGTTGACCACAATGGAGCAGAAAAGGAGTGGGCAGCTTTCAGAGATTTGGTGTATAGCACTGCATTTGTTCATCTGGGTCAGAACACTCAAAAACATCAAAACTGGGTTTGATGAAAATGATGGGGAAATTCAGAAGCTGCTAAATGAAAAACAAAAAACTCCACAGGGTTTACCAGAAGGATAGTTCATCCATTTCTAAGAAAGCAGCATTTAGTTCCATCAGAAATAAAGTACAAGCAAAGCTTAGAGAGATGCAGGATGCTTGGCTCAGTAAGAAAGCAGATGAAATTCAGTTTTATGCTGATAGTAACAATACAAAGTGTTTTATGATGCCCTAAAGGCTATTTATGGGTCAAAAACCCATGGTGCATCTCCACTACTCAGTGATGGTGGAGCCACATTGTTTAGTGATAAGGACATGATCTTAGAGGGATGGGCTGAACACTTTCATGATGTTCTCAACAGACCATCATCTATCAATGCTGACACCGTTGACCATTTACCTCAGGTTGAAGTCAATCTCTCCCTAGCTGAAGTTCCAACTGAAGAAGAAGTTTTGAATGCCATTAGGCTCCTTTTTTGTGGCAAAGCACCTTGTACTGATTCTATTCCAGCTGAGATTTACAAGGTAGGGGGTCCATTGCATATACAAAAGCTGACAAATTTTCCAGGTTATGTGGCAAGAGGAGGTTATCCCTAGGAATTCAAGGATGCTTCCATTGTCCATTTCTATAAAGGTAAAGGAAATAGATTGTCCTGTGACAATCACAGGATGGTCTTTCACTTAGTCATTGCTGGCAAAATTATTACCAGAGTCCTCCTTACCAGGCAAAATTCTTACCAGAGTCCAGTCTACCTGGAAGTTGGTCATCTACCTGAGAGCCAGTGTGGCTTCAGAATGGGCCAAGGAACAGTCGATAGGGTGTTTGCTGCCCAACAACTCCAGAAAAAATGCCAGGAGCAGAACAGAGGTCTGTACACAACGTTTGTAGATCTCACCAAAGCCTTTGATACTGTCAGTTGTGAGGGCTTATGGAAAATAATGTCAAAATTTGGTTGCCTGGACAAGTTCATCAGCATCATACATCAGTTTCATGACAGCATGCTTGCCCGGGTTCTGGATAACAGACAATGCTCTTGTGCTTTCCCAGTCACCAGTGGAGTGAAACAAGGCTGTGCTTGTTCCCATGCTTTTGCATGATGTTTTCAGCCATGTTTTCGAATGCTTTCATTGAGGATGAACATGGCATCAAGGTCAGCTACCTCACTGGTGGTAAATTCTTCAGCTTGAAAAGACTACAAGCCAAGACCAAAGTGGAGGGAGTGTTGGTGCATGGTTTTCTGTTTGCAGGTGATTGTACACTTAGTGAAGCTGAGATGCAGCAAAGTATAGATCAGTTCTCTGCTGCTTGTGCTAATTTTGGCCTAAAAATTAACACCAAGAAAACACAGATGCTCCATCCGCCACCAGCACACCACCCATACATGGAACTGTCAGTTACAGTAAATGGAGAAATTCTGAATTCTGTAAGTAAGTTCACTTACCTTGGCAGTATACCTTCCAGGGATGTACACATTGATGAAGAGGTTGATTCACGCATTGCCAGAACTAGCTCAGTGTTTGGGAGGCTCCAACAGAAATTATGGGAGAGAAGAGGTATTAGATTGACTACCAAACTGAAGGTCTACAGAGCCCATTGTGCTGACCTCATTGTTGTATGCCTGTGAAACCTAGACAATAAACCAGTGCCATGCCAGGAAACTGAATCACTTCCATTTGAATTGTCTTAGGAAGATTCTGAAGATCACGTGGCAGAATAAGATACCAGACATTGAGGTCCTTTCTCGAACTAAACTACTAAGCATTCAAAGTCTGCTTCAGAGAGTGCAGCTCTGATGGGCTGGCTGCATTGTTGAAATGCAAAACATACACTTGCCAAAAAAACTATTTTGTGGAGAACGCATACACATTCACATGGTGGTCAGAAGAAGCGATACAAGGACACTCTCAAGGTCTCTCTTAAGAACTCTGAAATTGGGGCAGCTAGGTGGTGCAGTGGTTAAATCACTGACCCTGAAGCCAGAAGGACCTGAATTCAAACCTGGCCTCAGACCAAACACTTGACACTTCCTAGCTGTGTGACCCTGGGCAAGTCACTTAACCCCAATTGCCTTAAAAAAAAAAAACAACTTTGAAATTGATTGTATGACATGGGAGACACTGTCACAGGACTGCTCAGTATGGCATGCCTGCTTCAGAAAAGGTGCTGTGCTTTATGAGCAAAGCAGAATTGAAATAGCTTGTGAGAAATGCAAGATACACAAACTTAGAGAATCCACCCCAAAGGTTCACACGAACTATTCGTGCCCAACCTGTGGTAGAGCATTACAAGCTTGTATTGGTCTGATTAGCCACAGTCGGGCATGCTAAAACTTGACTCTGAAATAGTGATGTCATTTTGATCTTCTGAAAACGAAGGACAACAACCAACCAACCAATTAAGCATGATTTTAATTGAGAATAAGATGTATTTTTCTGTGGCACAGGCAGGGAATATTCTTAACTTAATTTGGGATACAAGCTGATCATCAACAATATTAGCCAAAAAAAAAAATCACAAGTCCATGAGATGTGTGTTGCAACTGGACATATTACCAGAGAAAGGCAAATGCATGTGTGAACTCCTTTTATCAAGGAGTCAGCAGTATAGGGAAAGCCTTAGGTAGTTAAGCTATAAGGATAAGGGGAAGTTATCGGGGAAGGGAAAAGGACTAATCCCCTCCTGAAGTGGAGGAGAAAGATGATGGCAAAAGCAGCATTCTTTTTCCTTGAGAACTCTTAGACCGTGAAGATAGGATGGTCTGCTTATCTATAAAGGTCTTAGCTACGCAAACCAGTTTCTCAGTCTGGTTTCACAAAACAGTTTCTCAGACTGTTTGTCACCTGTCTTGACTCCCAAGGACACACAGGAGTCCAGCTTGGGGTGCATACAACAAATTATGTCAGCTTAGGGCCAGGGCTTTGTCCTTGACATGTTCAGGATCTCCTGCATATTCTGGGTCCAGTGTGTCTGGAAAATATGGCAACTCAAGAAGACAAGTTTGAGGGGCCCCTATACAACATACGTTAAGTACCTACTATGTGCTAGGCACTATGCTAAGCACAAAGAAAGTCAAAAGACAGTTCTTGCTCTCAAGGAGCACATAGTATAATGGAAGAGAAAACATGCAATCAACTAACTAGGTATAAACTACATACACACACACAGACACACACACACACACACATTTCCTCCTTTGAGATTTATTCATTCTGTATTTATCACACAATCAAGATTCTGATAGCTGTTGTCTACGGACCTCCAGGACACTCTCCTTCCTCAGAGAGTTCAGTGCTTGGCCCATAGTCTTTCTCTCCTCCTCAGCTCCTTATCTTTCTCTCCATGCTCACACTTCTTCTAAATTTCCCTCTTACTGTCAAGAGCACCACCGTCTAGTCACCCAGAATTATCCTTGACCCTTCTCTCTCGTCCTTATTGGCCAAATCTTGTCATTTCTACCATCACTGTATTTCTCATGTCAGATCCTTTCTCTCTAATCACACATCTACCATTGGTCATTTAACTCTCGATTTTAATGTCTCATTGACTTAGGTGTAAATATGTATCTAGAAGTCGTAATTTATCACTGTAATTAATATTATGGTCTAATGACTAGCATTTTGTAACTTTCTTCTTTTAACTTTAAAAATTAATCTCAATATAAAATAATCAATTCACTGAATATTTTATGAGTATATATACTTTAATCTGTTAATTATGAAGGAATATTTTAGTATAACTTAAGAATGTTTTTCAAAATCTATCACTTCTTTTTATCAAACAGATATCTCCATGCATCAATGATTATATACCGGGATCTGAAACCTCATAATGTACTCCTTTTTACCCTGTATCCTAATTCTGCGATTATTGCCAAGATTGCAGATTATGGAATTGCTCAGTACTGCTGCAGAATGGGGATAAAGACATCTGAAGGAACAGCAGGTATATCATAAAAGTTAGATTCTGTCTGTTTACTATTTTTTGGAGGGAAGGAGGAGACTGTGATTTTATTTGTATAAGAAATTCTCAGTAAGGAATGCCAAATAAGAACTGCTCTATATCTTGTAGTCTGAGAGACTGCTAGGGCCACTGAGTGATTAAATTATTTTCCCAGGGACACACAGCCCTGTATCAGAAACAGAATTTAAACTCAAATCTTTATGACTCTAAGGCTCACCATCTCCTTACTATAACCACCCTGCCTATTTGCATAGGATAAAACATAACCTCAGATGGAAGCTTTTAGAGAATTAGAAGTTCTTCGTCTGTAAAAAGAAGGAGTTGGATCATAAAACCTCTAAAGTCCCCCTTCCAGTTTTTAATCTTTGATTTTATGTTCCTAGGCTGGACAGAGGTTGAGATCACTACATTAGAAACCTCTCTCCAGGTTGACCCTGATCCCAGAGAGGCTAACAAACTTGCAAACTTGTTGCACAGCATCCAAGTATTAAGTGCAGAGCTGTAATCCCAGCCCTGGTACTCTCCCTACAGATTTAGCATAGTTTCTGCTGCACCATGCTAGATGAAGGTAGGGTTAGCTTTCTTATCAAGTTTACATATCACATGAAATTAGGCAAAATAGCTGACATATTAGATGAGATAATTGGGATCAAAAAAGATTTAAACAGGCTAGAAGCCAAATTTAATACATGATATTTAGAGAGACATGACTAGACAGCATACTGGTCATGTGGAAAAAAATCTATTGGGTTTTAGTGTATTGCAAACTCAAACTCAGCATGACTCAACAGTATAATATGAGGGCAAAAAAAAGCTATTTTAAATATAAAACAGATTAACAGATATCTAGAATCCAAAATGACGGAAAGAAATGAAAACTTGGCGTGTAAGAGTCATTTAAAGAAATTGGGGATATGTACTCTGAAGAGAGCCTAGAAAGGGTATGATAGTACTTTAAAAACCTGTCATATAAAAAAGATATTAGACTATTTTCTTATCTCAGACTGGCAAAGCTTAGATCAAAGAATCAATCTACTAACTACCATTTATCAAGCACCTATTAGGTCTAAGATATCTGCTAGCATGTGCAGTGGCCACTCCCCAATAAAACAATCAATGAAGTACCCATAAAAATGGAATTATACCAAGACAGAGATATTACCTCTGTGTTTGCACTTAATACAAGTAGAATTAGAACTCTCCCCTCTGAATTCTTAGTCTTTAATGCCATTTTGCTTTTATCATATGCTTCTTATGCTGTGGAATATAGTTCTTCACTGGTTTGTTTTCAGGATTTCGTGCACCAGAAGTTGCCAGAGGAAATGTAATTTACAACCAACAGGCTGATGTTTATTCATTTGGCTTATTGCTTTATGACATTTTGACAACAGGAGGTAGAATTCTAGAAGGATTGAAATTCCCAAATGAATTTGATGAGTTAGCTATAAATGGGAGATTACCAGGTGAGTTATTTTTTATTAATAATTAATAACTTTTTGGGGATTTAAGGAACTCTACAATTACACTACATTGATTCAATTTCACAAACTTTTATTAAGCACTTATTATATTAAAGTACTTTGTAAGGTGCTAAGGATACTAAAACAAAAACAAAACAGAACCTGATCTCAAAATTTTTTATTCTGAATTCAGTTTATAAATTGCTTAATTGGTTTGCATAAATTCTGTTGAGTCATTCTGTATTCCTTTGTCTATGCATTTGCACGGACAGACCATTCACTATGCCTGAGATACATCATCTCTTAGTTGCCACATGCATGAAAAAGAACAATAATTTCTCCAGGTGAAAATGATTTCTTCCTCCTCAGATTTTCCTAGACTACATTGTGTAAAAGGTTCCTTTATTCCAGCAAGGGTAAAATGGAGAAAACACTGGATATGAAGTAAGAAGACTCAGATTCAGATCCTAGCTCCCCAACTTAGATCTCTGTGATGTTGAGTAAGATGCTTATGTTACTTAAACTTCATTTTCCTCATCTATAAAATAAGAGGATTAGACAAAACTACCTCTGAGGTCTCTTCTAGCTCTAAATCTATAATCCTATCATTTCCTATCTCATTTTAACTTGTATTTATCTGTGGATATACATTATATTCTTCTGTTAGATTGTTAGATCCTCGCCATGACCTCCATTGCTTCTGCCCCTTCAGTACTCTTTCAGTCCATCAACCTTGCTTTATCTTCTCTATTTTCCCTTCTGAATTGACACTACAATTAACCAGTTCAACATCATACAACATCTTCTACTTTCAAATCCCTTTCCTCTTGTCCAAATGTTGCTCATGACCCAACCTTTGATTATTCTCACCATCCCATCCTTCTTCTCCCTTCTTTCTCATTTCTTATTACCCAGATTCTTTCTACCACTTATCTCCTCTTTCACCCCTGTGTCAAATGAAGAAGTGGCTCTATTCCAGCTTCTAACCTTAACATTCCACAAAACTGTTCTCTCCGAAGTTACCAGTAATCTCTTAACTAAGAGAGCCAGTGGATTCAATGATCATCTCTGTTCTGATGATTCTTAGATTTTTGTCCGGCCCTAATAGTGGTTATATCAGTTCACACCTCTGTCTAAAGTGCATTAGTGTCCCAATTTTCCCACATCCTCTCCAACATTTATCATTTTCGTTTTTTCTTATATTAGCCAATCTGATTGTTTGAAGTGGTATTTCAGAGTTGTTTTAGTTTGTATTTCTCTAATCAAAAGTGATTTAGAGCACGTCTTCATATACCTATCGATAGTTTTGATTTCTTCATTTGAAAACTGCCTGTTCGTATGCTCTATTTATCAATTGGGGAATGGCTTGTATTCTCATAAATTTGATTCAGTTCTCTATATATTTGAGAAAGAGGCCTTTATCAGAGATACTTGCTGTAAAGATTGTTTCCTAGCTTTCTGCTTTCCTTCTAATCTTGATTTTGTTTTATACAAACACTTTTCAATTTAATATGATTAAAATTATTTATTCTGCATTTCATTTGGTCATGAATTCTTCCCTTCCGCATAGATCTGACAGATTGGCTATTCCTTGCTCTTCCACTTTGATTGCTTTGTTGTCTATTGTACCTAGCAAGTTGTAGTTTCCTTCCTTATCCCTTTTAATTAAGTCTGTTTTTGCTTTTACTTTGTCTAAGATCAGGATTGCTACCCCTCCTTTTTTTACTTCAACTGACACATGGTAGGGTCTGCTCCAGCCCCTTACCTTTACCCTGTGTGTGTCTCTCTGCTTCAAGTGTGTTTCTTGTAAACAACATATTGTAGGATTCTGGTTTTTGATCTGCTATGGCATCCATTGTTTTATGGGAGAGTTCGTTCCATTCACATTTACAGTTATGATTACTGTGTATTTCCTTCCATCCTAGTCTTCCTCCTGTTTGTCTTTTTTCTCCTTTCACCCCTTCCCACCTCACCAGTGTTTTGCTTCTGTCTACCACTTTCCCTGATCTGTCCTCCCTTATGTCAGTCTCCACCCCAACTGCCCCGCTTTTACTTACTCTCCTCCCCTCCTGCTTCCCTGTTGGGTAAGAGAGATTTCTATATTCAACTGATGTGTGTATATTATCCTTTCTTCGAGACAATACTGATGAGAGTAAGGTTTAAGTGATGTCCATAGCCCACTCTCCCATCTTACCATGTGTTGTAAAAGTTCTTTCTCGCCTCTACATTTGAGATAATTTGCCCCTTTCTACCTCTCCCTTCTGCACCCTTTGTACTCCTCTTTCTCATCCCTTAATTTTTTTATCTCATTCCCTTAAATTCACCTTATACCCGTATCATCTGTCTATGTATATTCCTTCTATCTGTACTGTTAGTGATACAATTTTTAAGAGTTATAAGGATCATCTTCCCATGTATGGATGTAAACACTTTAGCTGTATTGAATTCCTTATGTTTTCTTTTCCATGTTTTTACCAGTTTATGCTTCTCTTGAGTTTTGCTATTGGAGGTCAAATTTTTGGTTTAGTTCTGGTCTTCTTATAAAAACTTGAATTCTTTCTATTTTGTGGAATGACCATTTTTTTCCCTTGATGTATTACACTTAATTTGGCAGGGTAAGTGATTCTTGGTTGCAGTCCTTGCTCCTTTGCCATCCAGAAAAACATGTTCTGTGACCTCCAATCCTTTAATGTTTAATTTTGCAGCCAGGTCCTGTGTGATCCTGATTGTGACTCCCCAATATTTGAATTGTTTCTTTCTGGTCATTTGTGGTATTTTTTCCTTGACTTGATAGTCCTGAAATTTGACTACAATATTCCTTGGGGTTTTTATTTTGGGATCTCTTTCCTGAGGTGATCTATGGATTCTTTCAATGCCTGTTTTGCCCTTTGGTTTCAGGATATCAGGGATGTTTTCCTTGATAATTTCTTGAAAGATGCTATCCAGGTTTTCCTTTTGTTTATGGTTTTTAGGTAGTCCAGTGATTCTGATATTGTTTCTGCTGGATCTATTTTCTAGGTCAGTTGATTTTCCCGGGAGGTATTTTACCTTTTCTTCCATTTTTTCATTCTTTTGAATTTGTTTAATTGATTCTTGATGTCTCATAGAGTCATTAGTTTCCACTTGCCCAATTCCAGCTTTTAACGTATTGTTTTCCTCAATTAGCTTTTGTATTTTTTTTTCCAGTTTGGCCAGTTGTACTCTTTAAGGAGTTATTTTCTTCAGTGGATTTTTGTATCTTCTTTTCCATTTGGCGAATTCTACTTTAAGGAATTTTCCAAACTGTTGACTCTTTTTTCATAATTCTCTTGCATCACTGTTCATTTCTTTTCCTTTGCCTATCTCTCTTATATGATTTTTAAGTTCCTTTTTTAGCTCTTCCATGAGATCTCCCTGGGTTTGAGATCACTTCCTGTTTTTCTTTGGGTTTTTGCCCATAGGTGTTTTGACATTCTTGTCCTCTTCTGAGTTTGTCTTGGTGTTCCCTGTCACCACAATAAGTTTATATGGTCAGATTATTTTTTTCTTGTTTTCAGCTCATGTTTTTTTTTTCTTTTTTGGCCTTTTTCCTTTCTTTTAAATTTGAGCTCTGCTCTCAGTGTGGCAGGGACACTGTCTCCAGCTTCTTATGCTAGTGGCTGTAGGCCCTGGCTTTTTACCTGGTGATGTACTGATGTTGCCCTGAGGCCCATGGGGGACCCTTGTGTCTGGGGGAATGGGGTGGCAGTTGGCTGGTACTACTGGAGGCCATAGGGGTTTAGCAGCTTACCTGGTGCTGAGCTGGAGTACTAGTGGTGGTGTCTGGCATATGCTGAGGCCCAGTGTGGTATTCTTGTGTTTCTCTGTAGCTACACTGAAACACGAAGTGGTCAAGCCTCTGGAGGCTGCCTTTTTGCCTGGGTCTACACTGAAGCATGGCAGGCTGGTGCTGCCTGTTTGCCTAGGCACATGTAGGGTTGGTGTCTACCTGTTTACCTAGGACTGTGCTGAAGCACATGGAAGTCTGGCCGCTGAAGGATGCCTGTTTGCCCAGAGCTACACTGAAGCATGTGGTGGTTCTTGAAGCTGGAGTCTACTGGCTCCCTTAGGTGTGCTAAGGCATGTGAGGCTTCCTGGTGTTGGAATTTGCCTGCTCCACCACACTGGGGCTCAGGGTTTTCCACTGGTTTGCTGAAGTGGGGCTTGTTGCTGGCTTGCTGGCATGCTTACCTTCTTGGGCTAAGAGATTGTTTCGCCCTGTTTTTTGACGGTACTGCTCTTCCAGGGTTTTTTAGGGGCTCTATTTTATAGTTGTTTGTAGGTGAGTGTGGGAGAGTTATAGTGGTTTATAACTTACTCTGCCATCTTGGCTCCTGGAAGTCATGTCCTCTCACAATCTTTTTGTTATTCTATACTATCTCTTATCTGTCCCCCTTCCCTTCACTCCATCTCCCTACTTTAGACCTCATTATCTTTTGTTTAGACCATTATGATTTTGTATTTTAATTGGTTTCTTTTCCTCTAATCTCTCCCCTTTCTATTCATTGTCTTCATAGTTCTAGCCGTGTCACTCCATTGCCCTTCTATTGCTTTTAGGATAAAGTCTTCTGTTTTTTAAAGTTCTTCATAGTTTGGCTCTATCCTATCTTTCTAGGCTCATTTTTTTTAATTCCATAAATTAAGCCATTTATTATTGGGACTATGAGCTACAGATATTTGATAAGGAGAACATTTTACTGGTCTTTCAATTCCTTCAGTCTTCTGATGGAAGATTTGATTGTGACTGCAGAGATGTTATTGTAGGTCCATTTGCCACCAGCTACTGTTTTCATACAGGACCCACAATGCCAGGTACCTATAACCAAATCTCTTCGTTTTGGTCTTGCCCCAGAAGGAGCAACTGTAATTGGCATGCCAGTTAATTTCAGTTTTTTTCACCATTTTCCAAGGGATGCACCATAACATGTTCCATATTTACCAATTCTAACCTTCTTGGTATATTTAGCAATGTTTTAGCTGTAGGCCCAGAGCTCATAGAGGAAAGAAAGTAGTACATATATGCGCTTTCAGGGCTGGAGACCAGAAGTGAAGATTGTGGAGGTGGGACTCCCTTTCTAGGCTTATTAAACATTATTTCATTTTACTCAGTCCTCAGTACAGACAAAACTGGCCTTCTTGCTATTCCTCACTTGAAATATTCTCCATTCCTTAAAATTTATGCCTTCAATGAATTATGTCCTCACTTCCCTTCCTCTTCCTCTTTCCCTCCCGTTCTCTGCCTGCCCTCTGCTCCCAAGGGATCACCATATTAATTCCAAATGTACTGCAGAAACTCAATTGGCTTTAGACCTGCTGCAGCTCAGAACATTTTAATCTCCCCAAGTAGCAGGGATTTTAGGCATGTGCCGCCACACCCAGCTTTCATCATCTAGGGATTGTGGAATCCCTAGTTTCTTTAACATAACCACCATTTCATAAATATGGTCTTTCAATCAATCAGTGAAATCAAGAAATATTAAGTAAGTGACTATTATGTGCCAGGCACTATGCTGAGTACTTTCCTATGCTTCTCAGATATTAGTGTCCTACTCTCACCCCAAATTACCTTATATTTACTGTATAAATCTTAAATCTATCCTTATGTAAACCCTTTGAGTTACTCTTTTAAACTAAAACTCACACTCAAAACGCACACTCAGTGCATATACCAGAAGATGACTGCTACTTTTGGGTTCCAGTGCCAACCCTTTGGGTGACTACTTTTACTGCTATAACTCATGTGCCCCCGTCTGTGTGTTTCCCGTTGTCAATAGATTTAATTAACTTTAAGCAAAGGCATTTACTAAGAACCGTTGGTACAAAGCATATCCCTTGAAAGTCTGGAGTGCACACAGTATCCATAGAAAGGGGAGGCTCAGACTATGGTACTAAGAGTACCATAGTAGTGAAATATATATAGAGAGAGAACACATATGGCAAAGGGGTAATGATCAACTCCAGGTACTGAAAGTTTTTCCTCACTTCATATAATCTTTATGTAATTCCCTGACTAGATACATTGTTATCTACTGCTCAGATATCTTCCTTGAAAAGGTTAGGTGGGGGGAAGGAGAAAAAGTCCAGTAGTCTACTCCCTACTCCAACTCCCCCTGCCAATCTCCTCAAGCAGTTTCCTCTTATGAGTTTCATTTTTCCTCCAGTTTGGGCTCCAATTCTCCAACTGATACTCTCCAAGCTAGAACTCTTCCAACATTGAACTATTGGCCTCCCAAGTTGCCTTGCTGGCAACTTTTTTATACACTGGCCCAGAGACATGTCTTATTCTCTTAACCATTTATAAGACTTTTTCTTTGGGGTGTCAGCTATGTTTCATCAGATGGCTAAAGCTCTCTAATCGTTTAGAGTTGACTAAAAGACTTACTTATACATTGTAGGATTTTAGGAAAATTTCTTAACAGTTACTACTCTAGGGGTAGCTAGGTGGCTCAGTGGATAGAGCGCCGGCTGTGTGACTCTGGGCAAAATGTTTAACCCCAATTACCAAAAGAAAAAAAAAGTTACTCCTCTATTGATTCATATGAAGTGTCTGTGCCTTTCTGTGATTTCATTAATTGATGTGGGGCATGAAACCCTGGTATGTATGTACTTATATGTATACATGGCAGGAGCTATTTCTTTCTTTTCTTTGTACCCCAATATTTAGCACAATGCCTGGCATATAATAGGTGCTTTTAAAGTTTGTATTGATAAAAAATAAGACAAGGACTATCATTTTTTATCTTTGTATCTTCAGGTTCTAGAATAGAGTAACTTTGTACTTCATTGTCTTTTAATGTTTATTGAATCAAATGCTTGTTATTAATATAGATCAAATTCCTTTTCAACAAATTGAATAATTGGAAGCCTTGTATAATATAAAAATTTCTAAGTCTTTTATTGTAACAATCTTATGGAATTTATTGTTATGACATTTGACTTAAATTAGGAGAGTGTTCCATTTTTCTGTTTGGGTACTCTGAAGACATAATCTAATATAGTAATTAAGAATTATTTCCTATTTATCCTGTATATAGCTTGCTTTGTTTACATGTTGTTTCCCCCATTAGATTGCAAGCTCCTTGAGGGCAGACACTATCTTTTGCTTCTTTTTGTATCCCCAACACTTAACACAGTGCCTGCCACATTGTAGATGAATAATAAATGTTTATTCATTGATTAATTGGATTCAAACAGTGATTCTTACTTGTGTTATTGCTATAATAATGAGATTTATTTTGAATGTTTTAGATCCAGTTAAAGAATATGGTTGTACTCCATGGCCTAAAGTAGAAAACTTAATTAAGAAATGTCTGAAAGAAAATCCTGAGGAAAGGCCAACGTCTGCCCAGGTTTTTGTTTTTAAATTTATATACAAATAGCCATTATTATGTCCACTTGAAATAGAATATCAAGTTCTACCAATTAAGAAATTTTGGGTTTTATATTATAGGAAAAATTTTATTAAACTTGACATTTTCCCAGCCTGAAAAAGGAAAGTGCTTTTGATTTATTGTTTTTAAGAATCCAATTTTACGATCTTGTTGACTGATTGCTCCTTTTTGCCATTTACACTAGCTTTTGACAGCTATTAATTAACCACATTAATTTGCCAGACTAACTTTTATCATACTGTAATGACTTTCTGTATTAAATTATTTTTCATCTTTGTCATTTGTATTGATTCTATTCTATTCTAATATTCTCCTATGTCTTATATTAAAATAAGGTACCTGAGATTGTGTGGGTCCAAAATATTAACTAGAATCTATTGATGATTTTTTTTGGTATTTGGTTCATTTGGACCAATGTACCTAAGTTTAAATTACCTTCATGTGATAGAAAATTGAATTTTTAAAACTTCTATCACTTCACTCATCACTTTAAAATATTATTAATCTAAGTATGTCTTTAATCTCTCCTGTGGAATTCTTTCTGAACAATCTGGTCTGCATAATGTAGCATAGAATTCAATTTTGGTTTGGTGTTCTCTGGTTCCCTGTCCCTGCCCCTCAAGTTATCATGTCATTTTGCATAAGCCTTGAGAAAATAGATTAGAAATTAATTTATGAGATTTAGATTTTGCTTGATCAAGGTTGTACTTGGTTATTCTTATCTTTCAAATTAATTCAGCCTACTTTTTTATTCAATTTTTTCCCCTGCAGGTATATGAAATTTTGAACTCAGCTGAATTAATATGTCTAATGAGATATATTTTAATACCCAAAATATTTGTAGCAGAATGCATGGTTGCTACAAACCAAAGCAGCAAGAATGCAGTCATCTGGCTGGGTAGTGGCAACAATGATACAGGACAGCTATCCTATCTTGAAATAAATACTGAAAGACATATCTCTAAGGTAGAGTTGCTTGTTACCAATATACTAAAAGTTTTCAAAGTTATATTTTTTAAAATATTATTTTCTTTTCAAATAATTTGAAAACATTTGGTGACTAATATACTAGCTTGATAAATTGCTTGGCAAGAAGTATATAAATAAGGGGCAGCTAGGTGGTGCAGTGGATAGAGCACCAGCCCTGAAGTCAGGAGAACCTGAATTCAAATCTGGCTTCAGACACAACACTTACTAGCTGTGTGACCCTGGGCAAGTCACTTAATTCCTATTGCCTCACCAAAAAGCAAAAAAAAAAAAAAGAAAGAAAGAAAGAAAGAAATAGATAAATACAGGAGAGCTACTTTTGACTTTTGTGAAATAATTTTTATAACTAAAAATTATTTTGCTGGATTATGGTATGTTACATCTGTGGTTTGAAAAGCAATGTGTGTACATGATATTCGTGTGTATTAGTAAAGGTAATAAGTTAATTAGATAATTGTTAATATAGTAGTAGTAATAGTAGTAAATAGATAAATAGTTAATGAGATAATAAAATCTATAACTAGGAGAGAAGAAAATATGTTACTCTGGTCTTTCTACTGTAACGATTGTTGTACCTGACTTTTCTTTTAAGATTAAGCTTGCATAGCTCTAGTAATAAAACTTTCATTAAATCATACTCCGAACCTGTTTTATTGGTGTTTGTTTTGTAAGATACTGAATGTATTTTATAGTTATTTAATTTTCAAATAGGGACAAAATTGTCAGGTTTTCAAGTTTTCCTTATTTGAACTGGCACCGAAAACTCTATTTTAAAAATTTAATTGCATTCCATTGGCAGGATATGACAGAGAGTAGAATATTGTGCCTTGCCCTTGTGTATCTTCTGGTTGAAAAGGAAAGCTGGATTGTGGCAGGAACACAGTCTGGTACCCTATTGGCAGTCAAGACAGAAGATGATAAAAAGAGCCACATGCTTCAAAGAATGACCGACTCTGTTACTTGTTTATACTGCAATTCTTTTTCTAAGCAAAGGTACCTTGACAGGTTTGAACATAGTAGGAAAAAAGTTTGCAGTTGTCTATTATATGCACAATTTTCAGGGAAACAAGACATATTCTATACTGTTTTAACATATCATAATTGGTTGTCATATACCAAAGAAAATAGGTGGCTGCTCTACTTTTCTAGATGCACTATAAGCAGATGGACTTGGTAGAATTGTGAATTATGAAGGTTTGTCTTTGGGATCGTGCTATCTTACCTTACAGTCCCTTTTTCCTTTTTTTGATACTCTACCTAGGCATATGCTTGCATACTCTACCAATTAACATGAAGCTATATCAACTATTGTGATAATAGCTTACTTCTCTAAGAGGTATTTACATTCTAGCTCTTTTGCTGTCTTAAGCCAGAGGAATGAACAATGTTGAAGTCATAAGTGACAGGTTAAAGTTAAGGTGGGGAATTATTATATTTTTTTTGCCTGGGACAGGGATTGAAGGGGAGTAGGAATCTCATCCCTCTGCCCCTTATATCATATTGTAGAGTACCCAATCTTATTTTAAATTGATATGTCAGAAACTTGCATCACTAAGGTTTGAGCAATTTTCAAAGTATGGGCTTCACTTGAAGCTTTGGTATTGAATTAATTTTTCCTTAGTAATGGCCTTTCTCCTTTTTTTTTTTCCTTTTCAGCAAACAAAAGAATTTTCTTTTGGTGGGAACTGCAAATGGCAGACTAGCCATTTTTGAAGACAGAAACGTTAAGGTAAATGTTAAATGAATTTTCTATGAAAATAATGTCTTGTCTCTGCAAATTTTTTGAAGTCAAGGACCAGAGTGATGAAGTAGTGCTAGGCTTGGAGTTAAAGCCTGGGTTCCATCCTGGCTCTGCCACTTTTCAGCTATGGCACGTTAGGCAAGTTATTTCACCTCTCTAAACTTCAGTTTTCTCAGCTTTAAAATGAAAAGAATTCAACTAGATAACTTCTCAGTTTTCTCTCATCTCACTCTGTTTGATCCTATGATCTTATACTTTTGTATTACGCGTAAAACTCAGCGTATAGGAAGCAGTCAAGGAATACTTATTTGCTCATAGATAAACCTGTAAATTGCCAAAAAGGTGCCAGCTAGCCTTAGTAGAAGAAGTGTCCTTATCTGGGAATTCTCTCTACCAGTGCAATCATAGACTTCATCTTTATCTCTATACTAATTGAGTAATAACTGGCTCTGTGCAGGAGCAAAATCTAGCTATTCTTTTTTTTAAACTTTTTGATACCATTAACTCTGTGCAGGTGTATCCTACATGACAGAGGTGAATATCTACCTGTTTTATGCCTTACTTCATATTGATAGTGAACGGTTATCTCTGTTGTTTCAGCTATTAAGAAATCATCTATAATTATCATATATAGATGAGAGATACTTTGTTGTTGGTTGGAAAGTAGAGAGGTGATAAAACTAGATGACAAACATCTTTACTCTCATTTTGATTCATGAAATCATATCAGTTTTGGACATTGATCCATCTAATAGTGCCAAGAACTTTTGGAGCAAAACTTTCTTATGCTTGTCTTCAGTAGCTATGAATGACTGTTGAGTAGGTAGAGGCTACGGGGATGAGAAAGGCAATTGTGAAGCCACTTCTCCTCTACTCTGAAAGTAGTAAAATCTCTTGAATTTGGGTTCCTAAGCTGCTTCTACCAGGGTTTGGGGGGAAATAATGATCCAGTGCTGGTTTGACCCACTTGACTCGTGTGGCTTCCTCTGTCTTTCTCTGGGTGTCTTGTTGCTTCAGTTAGACTGGTTTTCTTGTCTGCCTTTGAAAAAGAAAAGTGATTAAACTGCCCATTCTTTTTAACTAATACCCTCTGGATGTGTTCTCCAAAGGGAGTCAAAGACAGAAAGATCCAAACCAAAATATTCAAAGCACTACTTTTCTTAGTAGCAAAGAATTGGCGAATAATTTAAAAAAAAAAGTATGTAAATGAAATATGGTATTTTATGTAATAAGAAATGAAGAATATGAAAAATTTAAAGAAATGTGGAAAGATTTTTATTAAATGATACCAAACAAAATAAAATGAACCAAAAGAACAATACAATATGTACTGTTAAAAGAATGTAAGTGAAAAGAACACTAAAAGCAGTTTACATGAAACATTCTTTTTCTAAGCAAAGGTATCTTGACAGGTTTGAACATAGTAGGAAAAAAGTTTACAATTGTCTACTTCTATTATATGCACAATTTTCAGGGAAACAAGACATTCTATACTGTTTTAACATATTATAATTGGTTTTCATATACCAAAGAAAATAGGTGGCTGCTCTACTCTAGATGCACTGTAAGCAGATGGACTTGGTAGAATTGTGATTTATAAAGGTTTGTCTTTGGGATCCTGCTATCTTACCTTATGGTCCCTTTTTCCTTTTTTTGATGCTCTACCTAGGCATATGCTTGTGTACTCTACCAATTAACATGAAGCTATATCAACTATTGGTGATAATTATTGATGATTAATGATTAATAGCTTACCTCTCTAAGAGGTATTTACATTCCAACTCTTTTGCTGTCTTAAGCCAGAGGAATGAACAATGTTTAAGTCATAAATGACAGGTTAAAGTAAAGGTTCTCCTTATGACAGGAAAAGGGCAGGAAGAAAGAATATTAAATATATACATATGTACACATTGTTAGATGCAGTCACTGCATCAGATGTTTGCTTTTATTGTTTTTCTTTGTCAGGAAGGAGGGAGAAGGATTTCTTGTTCAATCTAGAGAGAAGGAAGGGTGAGAAATGACCATAACATAAAGACAAAAGGGATTACCAAAACATTTTTAAAAGAATTACACAGAATCAAAAGGTCTAAATGAGCTCTATCATTGGCGGAGGTGCCAATATCATATGAGCCAACTATCTATCATTAAGCGTTTTGTAAAGCATTTATATGCAAGACCCCGTGCTAGTGGCTGTTAATATGAATACAATTGTGAGACAGTTGCTCTCAAGAAGTTTGCATTCTGCTGGATCTTTAATCAATTGAAGAATGGAAGGAAAAATGCATTTCTTAAACATCCACCAGGTGCCAGGCACTGTGCTAAGCTCTTTTAAAATATTATCTCATTTTATTCTCATAAGAACCCTTGGAGGGAATTACTGTTATTATCCCCATTTTATGTTTGAGGAAAGTGAGGCAGGCAGAGATTAAGTGAAGAAGTATTGAAACCAATGCCTGTGTTTATCCAAGAAAATTCTTGAATTTGGTCAAATAGAATTGAACTGAACTTCTGTTAAATCTCTCATATGATCTATTATAGTGCTTTGGATAGAATTGGTACTCAATAATTATGCCAATGAAATATGAATGTCCAAATTATACTTTTACATATAGTGATGTGAGCACTTTCCCATATTTGAAGGTAAATGATGAAATTAGGCATTAAATTTTATCATAAAAAAGATAGCGACATCTAAAAATTGAAATTCCTACATTTACCTGTGATAACTAGACTTCTAGCTAACTAACTCATAGCATTTGAAAATACATGTTAATATGAAAATACATGTACTAAGGTTTAAGATGTTATCCACGTAATATAAGCCACTAAATAAATATGCTATGTTAGGAGCCTGTTAAAAAACTACGTAATAATTTAGTTTGACATCAATGTTTTAGTTTTTGGGGTTTTTTTTTTTCTGTTCTCTGAATTATTAGTATTGGCTTCCAGGGCCATCTCCAGTCGCCCTGATCTATATCTTGCCACTGGATCCAGATGGCACCAGAGGAGAAAGTGAGTCTGTTGACTTTGCACAGCCCTCCCTCATTTAAATCCAATTTACTTGCAAGTCATGGCATTGCCTTCCTGATGTCATGGTCCTCTTTAAGAATGAAGGACAAACAACAACAGTACTGGCTTCAATTACTTTGCCTATTGATTTCATTCTTAGACACCTGCAACTATTTTTTTGGATTTAAATTATGTATGCATTATATTTTCTGAGAATGTCTTTTTTCTTCCCTTTTTTATTAAAGTTTGAAGGAGCAACTCCTTTGAAGACATTAAATATAGGAAATGTCAACACTCCACTAATGTGTTTAAATGAATCCATGTATTCATCAGAAAAAAATATAATCTGGGGAGGATGTGGCACCAAGATTTTCTCACTTTCTAATGATTTCTCCATTCAGAAACTTATTGAGACAAAGACAAATCAACTGTGAGTTATTTCTAGTTAAATTACAAATTTTTAAGTTTCCTTATAGTCTTGTTTTTTTTAATTATGGTAGTCATACTGGTTATAATTCCTGTTAATTATTTAATGATTTTTAAAATGAGAGTCAGTGTGGTACAGTGCATAGTTTGCTGGACATGAAGATAGAGGGCTGGCGTTTAAATCCTGGTTTTGACACTTAGTAGTTCTGTGACCATGGTCAAATCTAAAACTCCTACTTATAAATATGTTGTGATGTTCATCACAGGGAATTTCAACATAGTAAAGTCAAAGCCTTTGATATGTCAACAGCATAATAACCTAATTTTCAAAGTGTCTTTAATGTTTACTATTAATATATCGTGTTGTGAATCTGCCTGGCAAGCCACCCCTCTAGCACCGCAGGAACCTTGTGTTTATAGTTTGACATAGCCACCACCACCCCTCTAGCACCGCAGGAACCTTGTGTTTATAGTTTGACATAGCCACCACTAGATGGTGGTATTAGATACCGCCAATGATTAAAACTCTAGGCACTGGTTGCTGGAACAGTTCAGTTTAACATAGTTGAATGCCTACTATATGAAAGGTATTGGAAATATAATAGAATATTATAAAATAGAATAAGAAGTTACTAAGGAGAAGTGGGGAGAGAAAGAAATATAAAACTTGGGCCTAAATCAAAGTCTTCTTTCCACTCAGCTGATCGCTTGCATTTTAACTTTAGTTTATGTATAGATTTTTATTTAGTCACTCATTCATTTAATAATAATTTTAGAGTATTTACCATGTGTGAAAGCTCTGTGTGTTATTATAGTCTTACCCCATCTCCTTCAGAACAATAAACCTCTGGTGGTATACTCCATATGAAATTCCAAGATTTAACTTTCTTCTATAGTCTTTGCAGAAGAATCCTTTAAGTTGTTTTGGCTCAAAGAGTTTTCAGCTGAAAAACCCCTGTTTTCTCCTCAGCCCACTCCTTCTAATGGTCATTTGATTAGTGTTTAATCATCATCAATAATGTTTTTTAAGGACCTACTTGCTACATGCAAAAGCTTTGTGCTCTTCTGCCCATTTTATGTGTGACTACCTTCATAGCAAAACTCATGAAGTACTACCGTAGCCTGTTTTTTTTTGCCCTCTCTCCCTAAGACTTGGCTCATCAGTGACTTTTACTATTGTGTTTGTTGTTTGTTACTTTTTTGTTTTTTGCTGCCACCACCTTTTCTTTCTTGATTATATTTCCTTCTATCTTATATATACTGGCTTTTGGCAAGCATATAAAGGCAAGTATACAAATCTCTTATGTATTGAATATGGTAGTTACTCCCATGGGAAAATTTATGAAGGTTGGGGCACAGCATACACAATAATAGATTTAAAAAAATAATAGTTATAAAAATGTTATTGGTCAGTCCAACATATGCCCTAGTATTCTTGCCAAACTTCTCTTAGATCATGTTGTCATTTAACTCCAATAGAGATTATGTCAAATGTAGTCAAAAATCTCTAATTAACAAATCTGAGTATTCTCATAATCTGGAAATACCCCTCCAGATTGACAGCCTTGCTGCTCCATTGAACATTCTTTAATCATTTGACCTATTATGGTTTTCTGCAGTGGGAGCAAAAAACTTCTTTCCTTTGCCCAATCAAAAATTCTTAGCTTTGAAAAACTTAACTTTGATTCAAGCAATATAACTCTCTCACACATTCTCACTCACCCCTTCCTCTGAAGATGTTCTTTGTACATGCTTACATAGATGATAGGATCATATAGAGGAAGAATTGAAAGGTACTTAGATATCATTCAGTCCCACCTCTTTTTACAGATGAGGAAACCTAAATCAGAAAAGTAAAAGGACTTATTCAAGATCATCCAGATAGTAGTATGGCAACCTAAGTCTTCTGGCTACAAACAAAGTTCTACTGTACCATGCTGCCTCCCTTTGGAAAGTTAGTTCTTAACTCTTATCTTGAATTACTTCTCTTCTGGTTGTCTAAAGTCTTTCTTAAGAGGCAGCATGATACAGTGCAAAGGAGTAACAGTGGCTTGGGATTTTGAGCAAGTAATGTCACTTTTATGGCCTTGATTTCCTTAGCTATAAAATGAGGTAGCTAGACTAGGTGAGCTCTAACATGCCTTCCAGCTCTAAATCTTAGGACATCAAATTTCTGGTCATTATGCAGCTGATTATAATTACAACTTAGTATAACTTGTAGTAATTATAATGTTTAGCATATAGACTTTTAAGTGATAGCTTGACTTCTATGCAGGATTTGACACTGTTGACCACTACTTCACCTCATAAATAGTCTTCTATCTCTGTGTGTCTATGGCACTACCAGCACTCTTCTGTTTCTCTTCCTATATTTCTAAGTATTCCTTCTCTGTCTTCTTTTATGGCTAGTCCTCTTCTCTTGATCCTTTTAGTTGCATAATTATTTTGAAAATATTGTCTTTAGCCTTCATTTCAATTGAGAAAAGAAAAATAACTTCCTTAGAGAGGGTTGTATATGGAGAGTTGATCTTATAGTTTGAAAAGTTTATTTTTCATACTGAAATATCTCATTTGTGTAAAAGTCTAGGATAATACCTCTCATGTGAATGTCCAGTGTTATCCTTTCATAGTTCTAAGTGTAGATGGTTAAACCCCATTTTCTCAATAGTCCAAATAATTTAGATTTTGTTGCAACATCCTAAATTTACTTTGGAATGATAGTATTTTTCATTCTTTTTTGTATTGAAGTAATATAGTTTAATGAATAGAGTCATGCACTCAGATAGAGTTAGAAAGACTTGAATCCTCCTTTTGACACTGTCACTTAACCTCTGAGCCTCCGTTTTCTCAAATATAAAATGGGAACAATCTTGCTTGTTTTATTTCTCAGATTTGTTATAAGACCCAAATGTGACTTTGTATTAAAGTACTTTGCAAACATTAAAAGTACGTTTTAGTTGTTACTACTATTCCTTTTTATTTTCTTTTTCTTCTTTTTTTTGCATTTTATTTAGTATTTTATTTTTCCCCAGTTACATGTAAAAACTTTTAACATTTGTTTTTAAAACTTTGAGTTCCAAATTCTCTCCTTTCCATCCTCCCCACCAACCTCATTGAGAAGGCAAGCAATTTGATATAGGTTATACATCTGTAGTCATGCAAAACATATCCATAATAGTCATGTTGTGAATGAAAATATAGACAAAAAAACTCAAGAAAAATAAAGTAAGTAAAAAAAGTGTGCTTCAGTCTGTATTCAGACAGTATCAATTCCTTGTCTGTGGATGAATAGCATTTTTCATCATTCAGAGTTATCTTGGATCATTGTATTGCTGAGAATAGCTAAGTCATTCATAGCTTGATCATCTTACAATAATGCTGTTACTTTGTACACAGTACTTTGCATCACTTTGCATCAGCCCATAACAAGTCTTTCCAGGTTTTTCTGAGAGCATCCTGCTCATTATTTCTTGTAGTACTGGAATATTTCTTGTAGTACTGGAATTAGGATGTATTCCATTCTAATCGCATACCACAACTTGTTCAGCCATTCCTCAATTGATGGGTATCCCCTCAATTTCTAATTCTTTGCCCCAAGAAAAGAGCTGCTACAAATATTTTTGTACATATAAGTCCTTTTCTTTTTTGGTTTTTTATCTCTTTTGGGGTACAGACCTAGTAGTGGTATTGCTGGGTCAAATGGTACACATGGTTTTATAGCCCTTTGGGCATAGTTCCAAATTGCTCTACAAATGGTCCTCTATTTTTCCCACATACTCTCCACCTTTTATCATTTACCTTTTCTGTCCTGTTAGCCAATCTAATAGGTATGAGGTAGTACCTCGCAGTTGTTTTAATTTGCATTTCTCCAATTAATAATGAGTTAGAGTATTTTTTCATATGGCTATAGATAGCTTTGATTGCTTCATCTGAAAACTGATCATTATCTTTTGATCATTTATCATTTGGGGAATGGCTCTTATTTTTATAAATTTGACTCAGTTCTCTATATGTTTGAGAAATGAGGCCTTTATCAGAGAAACTTGCTTCAGAATTTTTTCATAGTTACTATTGCTAACAGTATTTCCCTCCATCCTAACCCAATCCGTTTATTCTATTCTCTCTCTCCTTTCACCCTGTCCTTCCTCAAAAGTATTTTGCTTCTGACTAGCCCCTCACCCACTCTGCCCTCCCTTCTATCACCCCCATTCTCTTCTCCCCTTCCTCTCCTTTTATTTTTCTTCTAAAAATTCTAATCGATATATTTTAGTTTGCATCACTTCAATTTCCCAACATATGTTCCCTGACCTTCCATCCCAAGAGCCATTCCCCTATAACAAAGATTAGAGGGGAAAAGCAGTTCAGCAAAACTAGTTAACAGGTCAACTGAGTATGACAATAAATGTAGCATTCCAGACCCATAGTCCCCCATCTCTGCAAAGAAGGTGAGTTATCTCTTCTTTTGGGCCATTATTGGTTAATGTAGTTGTACCATGTTATTATTGTTCTTTCCGTGTACGTTGTTGCAGACTTTGTGTATCTTGTTTTCCTGGTTCTGCTTACTTCACTTGTAGCAATTCTTATTAGCATTTCCATTAGTATATAACCCTGCATTAATCAAAACACCCTATTTTCAAAGTAGTACAGAGATCCAAGATTTTACTGTAATATCTAAAAATTATGAACCCCAATATGACTTTCTTCTACTAATTGAAGACCATTTAAATGTATTTTCAGTAAGAATTTCCTTAGTGAAATACAGTTATCATTTAGCTCTGACAAGGAAATGAAAATATCATTTAAGAAAAAAATGAACATTAACAGATGTTTTATAATACTTATTTGTGATTTGTAGAAATAAATTTAAATGAGAAAGCTAAGGTTATTTTCTAAACGTTGTTCAACCCATGATTCCCCAATCTCCTTTTTGGACCTTGCTACCACAGCCATCTTCAGGCTTGCAAAAGCCTCCCCCTCTATAGTCTCTTCCTCTGAATGGTAAGT